CGTTGATATATATGCCAAAACTGAAAGTGAGTGGTTATGGTTTATACAGTACAAAGTGCGTAATCTGGATGTCCATTATCCAGAACGATCTATGGTCTAATGGGTCAGACAGCGTCAAGAAATATTAACGGACGGCGAAATCTGTTATATAGTTCTAGATCCAGAATATACTGCTTCTGATAGTGAAGAAAGTGACAGAGAGTTTCAAAACGAAAAAATTTCAATTGACAAGTTAGTCGGTATTCTCAACACAGCAATTACATGACTTGAACAGTAGAACTTTGTAACTGAACAAGAAATTATGTCTGTTTAAAGAATTAAAGAGAAAGTATTAGCACAAAAAACAAAGCAACTTAAACAACTTACATTGAAAGAAATGTTTAATAAAGTAAACAAATAAATATTAAGCTTTTTCTTTTTGTAAATTTTGATACTCTTTAGATCATAATTGCTCTTTATTTCATAAATTACAGTTTCATATTTTTAATTGTATAATTTCTGCATGCCATCTTACCACATTTAAATTGATGATCTATAATCCAGAAAAAACCCTAATCCGGAATTGTTTAAGTCCCAACGAGTCAGGATTATGGACTTTGTTCTGTACGACTTAACAAAAAGAAACTTAGAGTAGATGAAAACATTCATTCAAGAGACAGAATAGCTAATGATGGCTATGCCAATAGCCTAGCTTATAAAATTAATGAATATTATCACTAAATGACATGTATTCAGACCAGTGCAATGCTGGATGTATTCTAATGAATGGCAAAAAAAGAGGTTTCTCATACTCATATTGATATGGTTGAAAGACAAAATGAAACCAGATGAAATACACAGCATTACTAGTGCAGAACTATCAGATATCAGATTGTCAACAAGATCCCCATTTATTTCAAGTTATCATGAAAAACATAATTCATGGACCCTGTGGTAGTATCAATCCTGGATCTTCATGTATGAAAGATGGAAAGTGTACCAAAAGGTATCGCAGACAACTTATACACGATACACAAACAGCTGAAGATGGTTATCCACTCTATAGAAGGCAAAGACCAAAGGATGGTGTTTTCAAAGCCAAAATCAAGATGATAATTGGCAACACAATTCAACAAATTGAAATCAAAAACAAATGGGTTGTCCATATTGTCCATTACTTTCCCAAATTTTTCAAGCTCATATTAATATCAAATGTTGCAATTCGGTCAAGTTGATCAAATACACTTCAAAATATGTTAACAAAGGTAGCAATCAAGCGATGTTTGGCTTTGGAAAAGAAGGAATTGAACAATATCAGTTAGGATGATACATCAGCAGTAATAATGTAGTTTGGCAATTCTTGGACTTCATGAGTGACATTCAGTGGTAATACATCTAGCTGTTCACTTAGAAAACGAACAATGTGACTACTTCACAGAAGACAATTTACATGAAAGAATTAATGAACCACCCAAAACAACGTTGCCCCCCCTTTTTTTTTTTTTTTTTTTTTTTGTTTTGTTTTTTTGTTTTTACTATGCCAGGAAGATGAATTCTCCAGAACACTGCTATATTGTGAGGTTCCAAAATATTATACTTGGAATGCATCAAAAAAAGTTCTCAAACGTAACTGCATCTGGCTATACCAACATCAGAGCTACAAACACTTTGGTTTGCATCTACACTGTACATCCAAATAATTTTGAATGCTTCTTCCTGCTACTATTACTTCATACGATTAGAGGTTAAACTTCTTTTGAAGCTCTGAGAACTGTAAATGGTTGGATATGTGCGACATTTCAGGAGGCCTGTCAACTAATTGGCTTACTTGAAGATGATATGCAATAGCATGCTATGATGACTGAAGCAGCTATGATTCAATCACTTTCACAATTTAGAAATCTATTTGTCATTTTACAATTAGCACGCAGTCCATCTAACCCAGGAAAATTATGGGAATCCTACAAAGAAAGTTTAACTGAAGACATCCTCATACAAGCTCACAGAGAGAATATTGGATTAGTTTTTAATTATATGCCTGACAATTTAATAAATTAATTTTTAATTAAAATTTTTAATTATACACCTCAATCAAACAATGATTATTTTTGAAGATAAAGCTCTGGCAATGGCTAGCAGAGATCTCGAACAATTAGGTTTTCCAATTCCTCTAAGAACTCTTGATGGTCAGTTGACCAGAGTAATACTATGAGAGATGAACTACAACTTGAACGATTTGAATGAGTACATACCAACAAATGAACCATTACTGTTACCAGATCACAGGGCTGCTTATAATGCTATATTAGATCATATAAATAAGAAAGTTGGTGGAATATTTTTCTCAATACATCAGGTGGAACAGGAAAAACATTTGTCATTAATCTACTCTTAGCTAAAATTCAGCAGAAGTCTGAAATTGCAATTTCAGTCTTTCTTCAGGCATTTCTGTCATTCTTCAGGTATTTCTGTCATTCTTCAGGCACTTCATGCCACTCAACCATACACAATATGAAACTCCACTGTATAATATTGGAAAAGGTACAGGAGAAACCAAAGTTTTACCAGAGTGTAAACTTAATGTATGGGATGAATGTACAGTGACACATAGAAAAGCATTAGAAGCTCTTTATTAAACACTTCAAGAACTTCCCGACAATGGAAAACTCATGGGTGGAGCCATTTTACTTCTAGATGCTGATTTTCGTCAAACAATACCAATCATCCCGAAAGGAACGATGGCCGATAAACTCAAAGCCTGCTTGAAAGCTTCATATCTCTGGAGACACACTCATAAGTTGGAACTCAAGACTAACATGCAAGTTCACTTACAGGGTGATGTAGCTACTGACTAATTTGCCCAACAACTACTTAGTCTTGGAGATGAAAAAATAGTTGCTGATCCAACTAATGGACTTATCACAATACCAAATAATTTTTGTATTCAATAGAAACTCTCAAAACTAGTGCATTTCCAGATATTCAACACGATTTCATTGACCACAAATGGCTATGTGAAAATGCTATTCTTGCTCTGAAAAATGACAGTGTGAATACAATTAACTTACAGATTCAACAACAGTTACCTTGAGTAAATGTATCATACAAGTCCGTTGATATGGTTGTGGACATTGGCCAAGCAGTACAACATCCTACGTAATTTCTCAACTCGCTAGAACCTCCAGGAATGCCACTACACAGTCTGGTACTCAAAGTTAGTTCTCTGATAATTCTTCTAAGAAATTTAGATTCATCAAAACTTTGTACTAGTACACAATTTTTTGAGAAATGTCTAATGCCTTATGTGATTGAAGCAACTATCTTAACAGGCTGCACAAAAGAAGAAGATGTATTCATACCACAAATTCTCGTGATTCCTAATAATCTGCTGTTTGAATTCAAGCGTCTTCAGTTTCCAGTGCATCTTGCTTTTGCAATGTGTATCAGTAAAGCTCAAGGTCAATCGCTTAAGGTTTCTGGTATTCATCTAGGAACTCCTTGCTTTTCACACAATCAGTTGTACATAGCATGTTCAAGGCTATGTAGCAGTTCAAGGATTCAAGGGTTCATGTTTGCTCCTGGTGGCAAAACTCAAAATATTGTACATTGCACAGCTTTACAATAAAAATGCATTTAAGTGAAATGTCTTCTTTTAATAAAAAAATAAAAAAAAAAACTCATAACAGAAGAAAACACCCTCACCCGATTTTGTTACATCAAAGATCAATAATTAGATGGGAATTACAGCAGTATCATTATCTCTGTTGTTAGATACATAAGTCTCAATCTAACCTAACTGGAATCGGGTACTTCCGGTAGTATTAGAATATTATTAAACAGTATATTGTGGTTCAGGTAACATTAAAAATAATAAGTCACTACAAAGTTTTATTACGATTAAATTTATTTTGAATGAGCAGGTAATGATGTATGCAGGAAAAGCAGAAAATCAAAGCAGTGATCAAGATACATAATATTAGTAATATTATAATTTGTCATTGATCACACTAATGTTATATATGATAAGAGTTTATATCTTATGCATTTGTTTATATTTTTGTGTGTTATGCATGTGTAAAATGTTTGGCAAAGGAAGCATATAATTTTGGCAAAGCAAGCATATAATTTTGGTTAACAATCTCTACCTAAATTCTGCATAGTTATAAAAAGTATGAAAATGATTTATATGTGGTCAGAGAATGTGTACTTCTAAAAACAGGTGAAAAAAACCAAAGATAAATATCTACATAACATTCATACACAGATATTCTTCCATTTCCTTCAACTGTAAGCATGGTTTGAGGATTTTTCAACACTAGTGATGAGAAATTCTCTGTTCAAAACTATCTACTACTAATGCCTTTTTTGGTCAGTGCTAGTAATTGTTACCTTATTTTGAAAATAATTTATTCATTAAAAATTTTTTTTACAAAATATTTTTTTTCAAAAATGCTATGTTACAAAAACTTTGTCTTAAAAGCAATTTTTATGTATTATGTTTTAATTTGCATTTTTTATAAACTTATAAAAATTTCTTAAAAACATTGAAAATATTAAATACTATTGGCACAGAAAATAAATGATGATTTATCAGAAATTAAGTTATGTGTTCATGAATTATAAAAACAAGTGCAGAAGAAAACAAGAGTCTAAAACACTATTTTTTTTACGTTGAAATTTTTACGTTGTTAATGGAAGTAAACTTTTCCTTGAAATTTTTTAGAAAAGTTGTTCTAAAGGAAATTTAAATTAGGAGAAATTAGTTCAGTATACCAATATCAGTATTTTATATTTTGAACTACTTTTATGATACAGATCAAAAAAAAAAAAAAAAAATTGTAAACAATATGTGGAAAACTACAAGTGCAATCAAAATAAATTTTAAATTGCTTTTCACGCGAAATTTTGCAGTGTCTCATTTTTTTAATTAATCTGTTAAAAAAACTTTTTCACAAACAAACTTTCTTTCAATATAAAAAAATGTCAAAGAATTAACGGCATCAAACCATTAAAAAACTTACCTTCAGTTTGAAATGATTTTGAAAATTTTTGTAATGAATAAAACATTGTACCATTGTCTATAAACTCAGAAATCAATTCAGATGTACTTCCATGAGATAAGTTTAAGAGATGAGCTCCCGGTTTCAAATGAAATCTTTCTGTATTCTGTTAAAAAAATAGTAATAATAATGAATCAAAAAAGTTACATAAAAATATAAAAATTAATCAAATTCTGATTATTTTTCAAAACTAAAAATTATACAGGGTTCACACACACTTCTGCACATGGAAATTAAGTACTTTTAAGGATCATCAATCGAAAAAAAATCAAAGACTTATCAAGCAAATAGGAACTGAATAAACTAAAGCAATCTACGGCTGAACTTCACTTTTGTAATTTGTAAGGAAAAAATAAATCTATAAGTAGGATGTATTGTTATTAAACATATTCTAATATTTAACTTAATTATATAAAACAAATTCAAGAACAAAATTAATTTCACACATTTTTTCAAGTAATTAGCATTAAATTATAAAATTTCTTGAAACATTTATATTTTACATTTATAACAGTCTCACATATTTTAAAAAAGATTAGTGGCTTTTTATTTAAATTGCAATAGTTAGCTTTATACTAATTCTTTCTTTTATGCCTCATTTCATCACGCACGTACTCGCTCAGTTCAGAGGTACAGTGAAATACCGAAAATCTGCCAACCTGAATTCCGCCAACTCCTGAAATCCGTATTGCCTCTCAAAATATAAACATTCAGTTTACTAGTTCTAGAAAGTGCAACAATGACTACGAAATATCGAAGAAAAAATACTTATTGAATAATGACATCATAATTACCGAAAAATAATGAGTCATAACGGAAATACCAAATTATTGACATTATGATAAAAGTTTTTCCCCTCTAATCTGCATCGAGGTAAAAAAGCAGATGATTCACTCTTCTTTCAAGTTCACGATTCACGTTGTTGTATTTTCTGAGCTTTGTTATTTCACAAGATTATTTTAGTGCTGCCTTTTTTTTTAATCTGGATATTTTGAGGATAAATTGAGAATATTTTAAATTTCAGCCCTTTTTAATACAATTACAGATAAGAAACACACTCATAATTTTACTGCTTGCAAAATTGAAAAACGTAAACACGTTGCTTTGACGGTAATGCAAAAAGTGCAAATTCTGCAAAAGATGGAGACAGTTACTACTCCTCAGTTTATAGCAGAATCGTACGGAATTGCGACACGACTGTGTATGATATACGGAAAAATAAAGAAAGCTGTTGAAATTTTACAGCAATAGTGATTCTAACACCGGAATCCGAAACCAGAAATCTTTGCATGAAGCAAAATCGACAAACCTTGATGCTGTGTATATATAATACAATGAATAATATAATCAATTTATATATGTAATAATAATTTAATGCATATAATAAGTTATTGCAATAATATATATAATAATTTAATTAACAAGCAAGGTAGTTAGTACAATTCTGTAAGACCAATTTGGTCTGTATCTAATACACCTTATTTATTTTGCACTTTTAGTCTGAAAATTATTATTTGTCTTTTCTGTCCTGAAATCGGCAAAATCCTAAAATCCACACAACCTCTGGTCCCAAGCTTTGCAGATTTCTGGGCTTCTACTGTATATGCAAATTTTATGTCAAGTGGCATAAGTTTAACTGTGAAGTAAAATGATAATCAGCATGACTCATAATTAAAGCTTAGCCGTTGCCACTGCAATTGCTTACTTAGAGAAAGAGAACCGCTGATCAAAACAGACATGATTGCCTGACATTGATACGGCAAGTGTTGAAAGTTAGTTGCACTTTGACTGACCCAATTAGAGAAGATATGCTGTGTTGTAATGCATTAGTATGTAACTTTATGCAGATTTGCTGCAGTTGTTATGCAGTTAATATACAGTATTTAATAGCAAATTACATTAAACCACTGAAAAACTAAAAATGATAGATTATTCTGTATTATTTTAAGTCTCATTAGCTGCAAGGAATAAATTTTTATGTTAATTTTCACAGTTTTGTGTCGTATCAACACAACAAAGATTAAGGAAGGATACCTCACCTTAACATGTAGAGATAACTTCTAAGGATGAGTAGTTAGTAAATAGAAATAATTAAATTATGTAGTTAGATACTCTTAGTGATAACAGATTTACATGGTTACAATTACATTTTTTTTTTTTTTTTTTTTTTTTATTTCTAAAACACTAAGAAAACTTTACAGCAGTTGTAATTTATGATAATGATGCTAAAATTATATGACTATAGTTTCAAATCTACAAAAAAATTAAGATAGCAACAACAAACAACAAAATGTTTATTCGAGATTTTGATGTATTTTAGCTAATTCACATCGATTTCCTTCTCTTTAGTAAGTTTATTTGTTTCAATAAAAAAACTAATGGTTTAGTTTAGCTAATTCACATTGATTTCCTTCTCTTTAGTAAGTTTATTTGTTTCAATAAAAAAACTAATGGTCCCACTAGTCTCTGCTTCATCCCCTAATTTGTTAATATTTCAACAATGTACCTTTGAAGAATAATTTTCTCTCTCTTTATAAAACCAGTTTCTTTTTCAGTGAATTTCCTCTTCATTATAGAATTTTCAATTCTAAATAAATGCTTGTTCTTAGAATATAGAGAAGATACTCCTAATTATATTTCTTTAATAATAGGAGTATTGAAAATAATATGAAATGAAGCCAAAGCCAGGGTGGCATAATTTTTAGAATTTGGTAAAGCACTGAGCAACAAAATTTAGGACAAAATTTTAGAATTTATGACAGGCCCTCAGGTATGTAGGCACTGAGACATAGATGATGAATCTTGTAATTCACTGTCGGTTTCCATTTTTTTATGCTTGTGCCTAGTGGAAAGATGAGAAAATAAAGTTAAGATAAGATAAAGATTTCTGGCATCAAAAGAAGGAAATTCAATAATTTTCTTTTCACTGTTCTTCCAAAAATTCTCCAAAAGAGAAATAATTCTTCATAAATTTCCTGTAAAACACATTCATTGTGTGTTAATAACCATGAAGACACTTTTCATTTCATGAAATTTTTCTGGAAATTGTAGGCCTAGACATCTTGCCTTTAGACTTTCCAAGGTGCAAGGTCTAAAATCAAACAGAAAAATTCACATTTTATTAAAATTATGTCATTCAAATTCAAAATTCTTTTTGTATCTGTTCACTGCATGGTAACATATTAATCAATTAATAAGTTGCAAAGATTTCATTTTAAAAGGAAAATATTACTCCCAATATAGAAGTTACTTTTTTTAAGAGGTGATAAAAAATAGTATGTGGTTGCCATTTTAAATTATCTTAAAACATTAAAATGAGCAATAAAATACTAGCTTTTATTTTCAGATGACATCTAGTGGAAAATTTATTTAGAACACAGCCTAATTGTTTATTAAAATACATGGTTTCTAGCTGAATTTCCACAGAAATATGTTGCTACTTACATCATTATATATAAATGTGCTTGAAGGAATTCCAATAAGCATGTCAAGAATATGATGCACCATGTCATATTCAGATATGACTTCAGATAAGTTTAAAAGGGATTGAAGGGGTGGTGAATCCTCTTCAGGGGTATTTAGGACAGCATCATTTCTGGTCATTTCTAAAGTGTAGATGTGACATGGTACAGAATGCCTGAAACAAATACATCAAAACACAGCCATTAATGAATCATTTAAAAATCACATTTATTAATAAAATTCAGATGATGTAATATGCAAGGTGACCAAAATGTTTTTCCCTGATTACAAAAGTTTATTGCATGAAAACTATTATAATTAAACAAACATAATTTAGTCTTTAGAATGGTAAATGTAGTAATCATGCCTCTTTAAGAATAATACTATACTAGTAAATTTTAACATGTGTCCCCTTAATAGCTTGAAGAAGGTGAAATCAGTATTCTAGTCTTTTCCGCGTTTTCTAATAGTTGCTCAGTAACACTTGACAAAGGAAATGTCATTCTTGACTTCAAATTCTCAATATCACCAACTGATAATATTAAGACTCAGTCTTTGATATATCTCTGCCTGATTCACAACAGAATCTACAATATCATCAATTATGGCAGGCCTGCCAATTCCCAGAAGGTCAACAATGCTACCAGCTTCTTCACAACTTTTCATATTAATCCTTAATGTCTTAACATCAGCAGGATTACAATGATACAAGTTCCTAACTTGTATGATTATTGTCAATGATGGATAATTTAGTTTCATATTACCACAAAATATACCAAGCCTTTTTTTCTGTTATCAGTGCCATTTTGTTATGAGCTATTTTTAGATACCATCAAGTAGATAGTAACAAAACTCGACTATAATGATAAAATAAATATAATACATTATCATAAAAATTTCACACTGCAATTTTTTACAATTATTTCATTAAAATTTTTGAAATCAATAAAAGACTTTTTGATCCTCTTGTAAAAAAAAAAAAAAAAAAGAATATACTATTTTATGCAAACTATATAGAATTTTATATTTTTATACACTTCATATCATGAGCTGATATAGTAGAACAAGGGATATGCTACCAAGCAATCAAAAAAATAATAATAACACTTATAGTCAAATTTCAAAATATTTGGAGACTCATTTAAATATCTGCCTTAAATTGCCCTCAAAAATAGTAAAATAGCATTCAACGGCAAAAATTTAAAAACCGTTACAGTTTTACATAAAACTTTCCAAAAGGAAACAAAGCGAGTCCGAACACATGAAAATTAAATATATGAGAGTATGAAGACTTATGGTGTTGTTGAGTTAATGAATAATTAAAAGTATAGCTGATCCTCAAACAGAATAAGTATGAACTGTGCAACTTAACATAACTTTTTTCCACTAAATACATTAGAAAAAAGTTTCTAGTTTTGTGACAATGTTTACTTTCAGAAAAACTTTAAGAAGAACAATGTAGGTTCAAATAAGGAAATGTAAATACTGATATACTTCATCATTTAGTATTATAAAATACATATAAATCTCAATTATAAAAGGTTTTGAATTTTTTACGTCCAACGTTGGTAATTCTAATAATAGTTATATAGCAGGGCTTTTAACCAGCAGCTGAAGAATTTTATAGTTTTAGACGTGATCTCAACCTTGGTAGCACTCAGATTGTAACAAAAGGTTTGCTTATTGTACCAAAAGAACTGCAGTTTTGCAGTTGACAATACCAAAGAATGCTGAGAAAGTTTAACATAGATCTCCCAAAAATGGAGTAAGGTCAAAAGAAATGTTTTGTTTTTTTTTTTACCTATTTATCAGATATAATTAGAATTAATAATAAATTTAATATTAATGAATGTGCAAATGGATATTATAAATGTAATGAACTTTATGGTATATTAATTTTTTTTTTTTTTTTAAATCTACAAGGCTTTTCAAAAAGCAAAGATACATCACAGATAGCAGGAAAAGATTGTTTTGCAAGCATTTTTGCAACAGTGAACTTTCATCAACTTTCATCCTACATTCATTCATTACTTTTATGCTAAGTCTGGTTCGAGTAGTATGTAAGTATAATGGCTGGATGAATTCAGAATCCTGCCAGATGTGAAGTGCATCCTTTCATACATTTTCTTCACGCAAAGGTTAAGCATCCAATATATATTCACAAAGAAATTGTTTATGCTTAAGAGAACATTATGAACCAACAAAATGTAACAAAGTTATGTTGTGTTTTCTCTGTAAATAGGATCGATGAAGCCATTAGTGGTCTTTGATTCCTTCTTCAAATAACACAGGAAGCAAAAATAGGCATCTCACAGTGAAAGAACTGCATAAATCGTATCAAAAGTGTCTATGACAACTCTTTATGATGAAGTGCTGTTACTTCAAGGTACATGAAATTGTGTGCATGATAGGTTCTAAGAATGTTTACAAAAGAAAACACATTAAAAAATATATATCTGAGCTTCATACTCGAATTTCCTCAAACACTATGCATAAGCAGTTGGTGAATTTCTTAATCACATTGTTACTGGTGATAAGATTTAGGTTTATCATTACAAAACAGAATCCAAACAACAGTCAATGCAATGGCCCCATACAAATTTCTCAAAAGTCTAGGAATTCAAACCTACTAACTCCAATCAATCAATTGACTTCATGCCTTCCAGCGCCACAATTAATATTGTTGCATATTGCAAGAATTTGAGATGTCTTAGATGGGTAATTTAAAACAAACATAGGGGCAAGGTGACAAGTGGAGTCTGCTTGCTTCATGACAATGCAGGTCCTTAATAGTGCTTCAAACAAAAGCACAACTCATAAGTTTCAAGCCATCCACCATACACCCAGGAACATGCACTTATTTCTTCACACCTGAAGTACACTCATGTCCAAAATTATCTTTACATACCCAAAAATGATGATATTCAATGAAATATCGAATCAATGTGATCCGTATTTGCAGGGAATGTGTGAAAACCAAGCCTAATTAGCATTATCCAATCAAAAGTAATCAAACGGTTTGTGATATGCAAATCTAGGCGTTACGTCATCCAAGGGTGAATCAAGCGCTTTGCGCAAACTGAATATTTGAGTGAATTTCTGCAACATAGCGTTTGATTTCAGTGTGTAGGGACTCAAAGCGGTTTGTTATGGCTTCGAAGTATCATTTGGAAGAATCTGTAAAGTGGCGAATTATCGGCCGTTTAGAAGCAGAGCAGTCAATCATGGAAACAGCCACATGTCTGAATATTCAAGACAGACAGTCTCTAAGCTATGGAAACAGTTTCAAATGATGGAAGTGTTGTAAGGATGCCTGGACAAGGTCGGAAACGAATGACAACTGCTTCTGAAGATCGGTATCTGGCATTAACTGCCCGTTGTAACAGAAAGGCTATGCTCGCCAGTTAAGTTCAGAGCTTGCAGCCGCCACTGGAACTGTTACATCACGTCACAAACAATATACAGAAGGCTTAATGAAAAAGGCCTTTATGCCAGAAAGCCAAGGGTATGTGTTTTACTGTCTTCACAGAAAAAGAGGATCGCTTTAATTGGTGTAAAGAACATCAAACCTGGACTGAACACATCAATGGTCCCATGTTCTCTTTACTGATGAGTCGCGGTTTAGTTTAGCTGGTGATTCTAAACGTGTTTACATCTGGAGGGAGTCAGGAACACGAAATGATCCCTCGAACATTGTGGAACGTGGTCGTTTCGGTAGTGGAGGTGTGATGGTATGGGGTGGAATAATGATCGATGAACGTATGCCCCTACACGTGTTCAGCAGCGGATCTGTGACAGGCCAGATATATCGGGATGAGGTCTTAGATCCTTATGTAAGACTTTTCAGGGGTGCATATGGACCTGACTTTTTATTTATGGATGATAATGCCCGTCCACATCGAGCAAACCTCGTTGATGAATTCCTTGAAAGTGAAGACATTAAGCGAATACCTTGGCCACCAAACTCTCCTGACCTTAACCCGATAGAGAACTTATGGGACTACCTTGGAAGAGCAATTGCACGTATACATCCTCCTCCTAGAGATGTAAATGCTCTGAAGACGGCATTGCTGGAAGAGTGGAGATTAATTCCCCAAACTGTGGTTAACAACGTTATTTCCAGCCTTAAAACACGTTGTGATATGTGTCAACAAGTCAGGGCAGATCATATTCCATATTAAATTCGTAAGACTTAATTCTTTTTTCTGAATCATTCCTTTTTTTCTTAACTCTCTTTGTCACACTTTATTACCATTTTTATTGTTTCATGCTACAATTTTATATCATATGAGGTGATCTTCAATTTTTTCTTTTTGCATTTATGTGTCATCATGTTATGTATGATTCCACGAAAATTCATTAAATTATAAGTCATAGTCTCTGAGAAATCCGTGAATTTATGCATGTAAACATAATTTTGGACATGAGTGTACTTTCACAATGATGGAGAGATCAAAATTTAAGTTGAAATATAATTTTGACAAGTTGTAAATTTCTATGGTGGGCAACAAAAACTTGCACCCAGACTTAATAAAAAGCTTATACTATAGCGGCATGTACCAGTGTAGTAAATAATGTAGTAAATTCTAGTCACAGCCCTAAATATAGCAAAAAATATGTGGCTGCAAATTTATCAAATATTAGACTAATTATAAATATGGCAGATGATGTAAATTATCAAATTTTAGAACTAGTTTTAAATTAAGTTGTCTCTGCATTGTGAGCACAGTAACTGAATAATAAATATAGACAATTTAATTACCCTACTACATAGTGCCCAAAAAAACTGATTTCATGTGTGAATCAATTTTTATTTTCTTACTGTAAGTGTAGCAATTAGTACTCATCATAACATAGAAAAAAGGAGCTGTTAATCACACATTGCACATCGCACAAAAAGATTCCTGCAAATTCACTGCTCACAAACGTAATACAAGAAACAAATTGTTATCTAGATGCATTGTAGCAAATAATTTCCTTTCCGTTACTTGATGAACAAAATTTCAACTAGAATTTAACATGGATGGATAATGACCAATTATTTTTTTGTAAATCGCTCTGAACAATGAAATGAAAGTCAATCCCCTACCTCATGTCTCAACACGATGACAAAACAGTGCAAAAACGAGCTTCCATCATTCTTCAAGACTCTTGGAAAAGTTTATAGTTCATGGG